GGGGGCCATGTGTGGGAAGAGGGGGAGGGAAATGGGAAACGGGGAGGAGGCGGTAATTTTCTTAAAAAATAAATAAATAAATGAAAAAAAATGACTTTCAATATTTGAGAGTACAGACCTTAAGAGGATGATGAATCACACTTGTAAAAGAGTGTGATGAAATTCATCAAGATAGCATAAATGTCACCAAAAATTTGCTACTAAATATACTGGACTGATTCTCCCTCCATATTGAAAATATGACTTGGTGCTCTATATAAACTTGCATTTTATTTTATAAAAAATAAAACAAAAACAAAAAAAGAAAAAAAGGCAAAAAAGAAAAGAAAATGGAGAAAAAGTGGGAAATCCCATAAAATACTAAGACATTTGGAAGACTGAAGTTTTGAATACTGCTCATATAATGTTCTTTACAATATACTACAAAACTATTCCACAACAATTAAAAACTGATGAAAACTACCAGGTAAAATAATTTAATGAAAGATAAAAACCATAGTAATTTCAAAGTACCTAACAAATGAGCCCTAACTAAGCTATATTCATATTTCTAATATGAAACTGAATAAATGTCTTCTGTATTTACTTGTTGATTTTACCACATTGCATTTTGAATATTAACAGTTACAAAGCAGACAGTATTATTTTGAAACACTCCTGGCTATCCTAGAACTCATTCTGTAGACCAGGCTGGCCTCAAACACACAGATCTGCCTGCCCCTGCCTCCCAAGTGCTGGGATTAAAGGTGAGTGCCACCACTGTCTGGCATATTATTATAAAATTAGGAGAGTAAGTGAACTAACAAAACACACATGAAGGATTTTTACACACTAAAAATAGACATTTTACAAACTGACACTATTAGAATTTACATTATTTTCCAGTTACCTTCTTCCTTTATTTTAAAACAGAAAATACATATTTAGTGCCTTCCAGACAAAACAGGACTAACACACATGAACTCAAAAACACTGTGGCAAAAAAAAAAAAAAAAAAAAAAAACACTGTGGCAGCATACAAAGAACCTGCATAGGTCTAAGCCAGACGGGACCCCAGCCATAAGAAGAAAAGTGGACTGATAAGCAAAGTGAGAAAATTAACTAATATAAGATTACTTATTGCAAAAAGAGATCACCATTAGATATACTTAAACTTTTTATTTTAACTTTATAAGCATAGAATATTTCCATATCTGTTTATTTTGGGGATATGCTGTTATGTTTTTGTTGTTGTTTGTTTGTTTTGGTTTGTTTGGGGGGGTAAATGTTTCAAGTAATGTAGACAAAAGCAGAAACTTAGTGTTTTCTTGATCAGTATTTCTAGTGAATACGATCATCCTTTACAGGAACTTGATTTCACATAACTGTGCATTACATAAATGTATAGTTTTCAAACGTTACATTGGGTTGACCTTATTTAAAGTCAACTTAATTGATTCTACAGGACCTATTGGTTTCGTGGGAGCCTAGGCAGTTTCGTGGATGCTCACCTTACTAGACCTGGATGGAGGTGGGTGGTCCTTGGACTTCCCACAGGGCAGAGAACCCTGATTGCTTTTTGGGCTGACGAGGGAGGGGGACTTGACTGGGGGAGGGGGGGGGGGAAAGGGGAGGCGGCGGTGGGGAAGAGACAGAAATCTTTAATTAATAAATAAATAAATAAATAAATAAATAAATAAATAAATAAATAATAAAATAAAGTCAACTTAATTTTTTTAAAGGAACTTCACTGCTTTTGCTATGCTGTAATGGAGTGTATTTACATTCAAATAAAAAGCAGGTGGACTAGGGATATAAAACAGTTGGTCGACTTGCCTGGCATTACCAAGGCCCTAGGTTGGAGCCCTAGCAATGTACAGGTTGTGGTGGCATCCATCTATAATCCTAATACTTGAGAAGTGGAGGAAAGTCATCCTTAACTACTTAATCAGTGTGAAGCCACCCTTAGATACATGCGATCCTGTGAAAAAAGAAAAGATGGACAGACGGATGGAAGGAAGAAAGGAAAGAAGGAAGGGAGGGAGGGAGGGAGGGAAGGGAAGGGATGGACAGAAGGAGGGAGGAAAGAAGGAAGGGAGGAAGGAAGGAGGGAGAGAGGAGGGAAGGAGGGAAAGAGGGAAGGATGGAAGGAAGGAAGGGAGGGAGGGAGGGAGGGAGGGAGGGAGGGAGGGAGGGAGGAAGGAAGGAAGGAAGGAAGGGAGGGAGGGAGGGAGGGAGGGAGGGAGGGAGGGAGGAAGGAAGGAAGGAAGGAAGGAAGGAAGGAAGGAAGGAAGGAAAATTTAGAGGTAACAATGCTTCTACACAAAGAACAAAAACATCCTACCTGCTTCAACCTCATGAAGAAAGTCTCTGTAAAAGTCTTTCTGCTAAAATACCAAAATCTTTCGTTTGCAGGATATACACGAACTACTGTCTCCAGGAGAAAGCGAACTGGTTCCACCACCTCTGTGACTACCATATCCACTGCCACAGTCATGTACACCCTTTTATCTGCAACAGAAAATTTCTGGGTTTTATTATTCCGTGATTGTTGAAGAAAATAAGATCTCCTTGGCTTATACAAGAATTACAGTACTAGAAAAGCAAATTAACTTCTATATATTTATTTTTAATTATTATATCATAATCAAGTATCTAAATCTCCTGACAGATGTCTTTTTCCATTCTCTAAATAGGATGCTTAATATAACAAATAAAGACTGTGGAGAAATTTGAAAATGCCTTGGGTTGCATTTCCAGCAACATACATACATACATACAGCAGGAAAGCAGATAAAATGTTGAAGATAACTTTACTCTAAAATTATTGAATTTCTTAGATAATCACTAGAAAATCAAAGATGCATTCTTTCAACCTAAAACAGAAATGGCAGAAAGTGAAAGGTATGTTTGCAAACTAGAGGAGCTGCATAGGCCTCTCATTTTAAATCTGTGTAGTAGAGCACTGCTGATATAAATATCTCCATGTGCTGTGAACTAAGAAAAACATCCTCTGAAGAATTCTCAATACTTTCACTGCTCATAATGCATATATTTTCTTGTAAAAATAATTAATTGAGCTGGGGAGATGTCAGCAACAACACTTGTACACTTGGGTGAAAGGAAAATACCCAGCAAGTGCATTAAAAAGTGAGGCAAGTTGGACATACCTATAGTCCTAGTACTAGGGTAGTGCAAGTCAGAAGGATCACTGGGCTTTCTGAATGCCAGCCCGGCTCCAGATTCAGTGAGAATCTCTGTCTCAAGGGACTAAGACAGAGAATGATAGAAGAACACCCGACATCTTTTACTGGTCTCCATCCACATGGGCACACAGGTATGTGCACCACCCCAGTCACACCTATACCACAAAAATCATTATACACATACTCACACAGCAAAAATACCATTACTAAAACTTCAGTGAAATACAACATGCAGTTTTCACATATATGTACATATATGAGTATAAACGCATATATGTATACATGTGCACATATTATTTACACATGTAAAAGCAGAGGTACGGAAAGTGTTTTAAGGGATTATAGTGTTATCAGTCACATTTCTACTTACTATTTAAAATATTCCATTTGTTGCAACACTTGTTATTAAATGTAGACTATTCTAAGCCAGTATCTATTTTTTTCCATCATGATAGACTAAAATATGAATTCCATTTTATTTAATTTCCTGCTTGATACTTATTGAGAATTTTGGACTTATAGCTTAATCATACAATACAAATGAATAATCTTTTCTTTGTCTCTTAAATATACTTTGTTTTGATTTTTTAGACAAAGTCTCAGAATATAGCCCTAGCTGGTCTGAACTTACAGAGATCTGCCTGACTTTGCCTCCCAAATGCTGGAATTTAAGCAATATTCCTCTATGGCCCCAGCCTTCTGAAATATTTTTAAAATTTGACTTTTCCTGTTTTTAATTCTAAATTAAAGGAAAATACAAATAGCCAAAGGCATCATTGAGATAAGTGTAAATATTACTAAGTGAAAGTATTTACTAGGACAAGTATCCCTACCAATTCAAGAGAATTTAAGATTCTTTAGACATTGTACTTCAACTTGAGTACCATAAATGTACAGGGTGAAGAAGAGTGCATAAGATATAAATTTAAATACTCAAAAGGATCTCAAACGAAATTAAGAGATATTTCGTCTCTAGTGCCTAAAATGTTTTCATAAAAAAAAATCAAGCCTTCTTTGGCTTGTGAATTCTGAGTAATATATAATTTCAAAAATGTCCTTTGAAATTTTTAAAAAGTCAAGGCAACATGTTTGTGTAGCATGTTAAATAATTTCAAAAGAAACATCATTTGGATCCCAACAGTATGATATAAATAGCGTAAAAAGCTTATTTTAGCAGGGCAGTGGTAGCACATCCTTTAATCTCAGCACTTGGGAGGCAGAGTCACACAGATCTCTGCGAGTTTGAGGTCAGCCAGCCTGGGCTACAGAAGGAGTTCCAGGATAGGCACCAAAGCTACAAAGAACCCCTGTCTCAAAAAATAAATAAATAAAGCTTATTTTAACAAAATAATCTTTTAATTGAGAATAAAATGTATTAAAATAGAAATTTTTCTCAACTTTATATTTTCTTTCTCAGTGGTTATAAGAAAGAAGGTTATATGGTGCTACTACAAACCTGTCTCCAAAGTAAACTCTGTAACAATAATTTGATACTAAAATGAATAAGGCTGAATTTTAAAAACTGTTTCTTACTTTCTTATATATGTGTATATGTTCACGTGTGTGCATGTTTACATGAGTATAGTGTAGTAATATATCATTTAAATTTTAAAAAATAAAGCTTGCCTGAAGTTCAGAGAGTAAAACAGCCACACTGATCAGCCTTACATACCAGGTAGTGGTGACACACATCTTCAATCCCAGCGGCCACACTAGTTTGCCATAGAAAACAGGAGGTAGTGGTGCACACCTTTAATCCCAGCACTAGAGAGGAATCTAAGAAGGGAGGACAGCTCTCCAGACACAGTCTCATTCTGAGATTCCTGAAAGCAGGATCACCATTTTCAGACTGAGGTAGAGGTAAGAGACAGTGACTGGCTGTTTTACTTTTCTGACCTTCAGGTTGAACCCCAATTTCTGTCTCAGGGTTTTTATTAATCATGCTACATTTAGAAAGAAGAAACATGAGTGTTCATGTGTGTGCATGTGTTTATAAGTTTGTAAGGATGGAGCATATGTCTTCATGTGTGTTTATATGTATGAGAGGGTACATAAATGTTCATGTGTGCATGTTTATATATGGAAATGGAGCATGCATGTTCATGTATGTACATATTTACATGTGGTGAGAGCATATGTGTTCAGTATGTGTGTACATGTTTATATTTGGGGAGAGCATGTGTGTTCAGTATGAGTGTGTGTGTTTACAAGGGAAACAGGTGTGTGCATGTGTGGGGGGCAGGTAAATTGAGTATCTGATGTTGTAGGCATGTTTACATGCATGTATGAAAGACAGCATGTATGTTTAGATTATGCATGTTTACATATGGGAGGAAGGAGCTTATGAGTACATATTTATTCATATTTATATGTGTGTGAGAAAGGAAGTCGGTGTGTACATCTGTGTGCACATTTACATGAGGAGGGACAATGAGTGTGTGGAGGTGCGCATGCACATTTGTCATGAGCATGGAGACCAAAAGTTGATGCTGGGAATCTCAAGATCCTTTTTTGCTGTTGTTTTTGTTTTCTTGAGGCACGGTCTCTCAATCAGATCTAGATCTTCAACATGCCAAGTCTAGCTGGCCAGCTTCATCCAGGGATGCTGTCTCCTCCTTCCAAGGCTGGAATTATGGGTGGATTCCCATTCCAAGCACTTACTTGGATACTGGGGATCCGAATACTGTTCCCTTCCATGCTGAGGAAGTAAATGCTTTAACTGCTAAGATATCTTCCTAGCCCAAGGCTCAGTTTCATATAAACATTTTTTGCTATGTTTTAATTGTAACATACTTTGTTTAAACATAGTATGTAATCAAATGCATGTATTTTGTAGAACTAGTGAACACCCACTCTCTTTACAGACAACAAAGAATAGCTATCATTTTAATGTTCTTTACAAGAACAGCATATTTTCCTATGAGTAATCATTGATGCTTCTTGTCTTTAGCCAAAAGTCAAATATGGGTATAAACTAAATAACATAAAATTAAAGATGAAACAAGTTGATTGTTATATTCTGAACATACATATTTAACTGAATGAAAAATAACTCATTTTCAGTAAAACTGTAAAGCAAGTAAAACTTTAAATTTAGTTTAAACAGATCAAAGATCTAAGATCTAGATGAAGTAATTAATAAAAATATAAGTAATCTATAATGCTTAGTTAAAAATGGTAAACAAGGATATGCAAATTTCCAAAATTTGTTTGCTTAGACATTCCATCACTCTCATCCAAATAAAACAACCAACTTTAAAGCAATATTTAAATCACAAAGTCAAATGTTTTCCACATAATCTAATATAACTAATCAACATGGTTTTTAAAGTTATTCTTTTAACTAATGAATTTTTCCCCACAAAAACATGAAAAATATGAAAAGGAACTTCATAAATATCCACTATGATTCTAAATATGAATATCTTCAATTTAAATAGGCAGAAGTACTTTCTAAAAGTGTAATAAAACAAGATTACTCACAATAAAATTTAGAAGTAATAAAAAATATTAAAGGAAAGTCACCTTTCGGAGTTTCTTCATTAAGTGCCAGAAATATTGGTGCATTGGGGTTCCACATGCCTGTGATGACATAAGCTCTACCATCGTAGCTCTTTCCCATGGATTCCTAGAAAAGTTCAGACAGGAATCATGGGCAGTATGCACAAGGAAAATTATCACACTTTAAAATTATACCCTTAATCAATTTAATTTATTAAAATGTACATCTACACTCAAATAGAAGCTTACATTTTAATGTAAATTTTCCCACACAAAAGCATTTCTTTGAGTATTGTTATATTCTAGCTATCTTCAAACACAGGTTAGGTATAAACACATGTACTTCTTGCATGAAAAGAAGCATACCTATTCATGCTGAGTCATAAAAACATAAAGTTGTAAAGGTATATTAAATGTGATAGCTTGTTTGAGGTCAAAATATCTATATATAAAAGACCACAATATAAAATATGCTGGGAATATAAGTTCAATTCCCAGCACCAAATAATAAAATACACCCACTCACAAATATCTACAGAAAGACTCAACCACAGAAGGAAAAAGTAGTAATGTTACTTTTTTATGGCAATATCTTCAAACTTCAAACTTAATAATTTTCTAGTATCTATAAATCAATAAGAAATCACAATGGAGAGTTTAATTCTAATCAACAAATGTAGCTTTATCTCTCTTTCCTCTTCTTCCATCACTCTTACTTCCTCCTCCCCAACACAGCTCTCTTTACCCTCTTCCTTCCTCCTACCTTCCCTCCAAATTGGTTTTTTTTTTCTGTTCCCTCCTTATCGCCTCCATTTTAAAGTTTTCACTTAATCAGCTCTTGACTATTGAAAACAAGGCCATAAATGAGTTTTCGTATACGTTGCAGAGAAAGCAGGCCAAAATGATAGCTTGTGAAACACCCACAGAAGCATGATAACATGTGCCAAGACACATGAATGCTACCTACAGAACTTTCCATTTTTGTATTTCCTTGTACTATGAACGGTGAAAAAGGAACCAGACCAAAACAAAGAAAACTTTTTTCCATTCCTTACAGACATTTCTCTAAATTCCTATAAAACTGGATCAAGTCACTTGATTATTATATTCTTCTAATATATCTATCAATTTTAGTCAAACTGTATAAGACCAAGAATCTTGCATTCCAGAGATGAAGTAACTAAAGAGCATTTAATTTTAAAGGAACCACACTACGCAACTCCTCCCTAAAAACATCCATAAATTCACTCTCCCTCTCCCTCACACATCACAGCGCACACGCAGATACATACACGCACACACACAGTCCTCTAGCTCTTCACTATCCACACTAACTAGTCCCCAGTCAGTACAGGAATGAGTTTCTTACTTAAAAGATGCCAGCTATTTCTGTATGCTTGAATGTTTCCTGTGTTTGAGTACAGAAAAATGAACTAGAGTAATAATCTTTCTTTCAATGAACAAGTACAGAAATTAGGTAGTTAGCCACGGAAGTTTAAAGATTTCAGTAAGAACTGAAGCTGTGACAAGCCACATATAAAGTAGCAAAAAAAAAAAAAAACTATGAAGTGAAAATAAAAAGAAGAGATTTAGTTGTACTAGGAAACTGTTAAAGAGATGAGAAAGAGTGAAGGAAAGAAACACTAAAACCCATTTTTAAGCCAGGTCTGCTTGTGCAGAACTACAATCCCAATATTCATAAACGAAGGAGGGATTCTGAGTTACAGCCAAGCTTAGATTACACAACAAGATGCTCTCAAAAAAAAACTTTAAAATTATATACTGTCCAGACAAAAAACGGAAGTAGATGAAAGGAAGAGAAGGAGATCCACAAGACAAAGATGGTATGGGGGGGGCAGCACTTTATCACACACATACAGACAAACTGCTTCACGAAACTTTACCTCCATGTTTTGAACATACATATACATTCCAAATATACTGATTACAATATAAAATGTGCCTTTTTAATCTAATGTCAACATATGGTTAATTATATAGATCCACATACTATGGAGTAACTCTAATAAATTGTGGTCCAGCTTCACGTAACATATATGTACTGCAGTTCCACAGAACATATATTTACTGAGTTTTCTGTCTTTCATGGTATTTTGCTGTTAGGCTTTTCCTGAGTTAAAACTGTATTAAGAGATATGGTTAAAACCACTTACTTCCTACCCTACAATTTCCATGATCAAAAAATTCTCATTATTAGTAGAAGATTGAGTCTCTGTTGCTTGTACTCTTCAGTCTTCCAAAAACACTAAAATTTCGTTGCATACGATTTTATTATGCACATATGTATGTGTGTGAATATATATACATATATATGTATATACAAACACAAATGAAACTATATGTTTATGACCTTAGTCTGTTACGTTAACAGGACCTGGGAGACAAGTCTCTGGGCGCATCAGTAAGGGTAATTCCAAAGAAACTGAAGTGAGAAACACCCACCCTGAATGTGTGAGACATACTCCATGCCCCAGGGACCAGGGTTGGATGGAAGAGGGAAAAGGGTGCTAGCATGTCCTTCTTTTGCTTCCTGGTCTTCCCGGATGTGAGGAATCCCACCTGAATGTTATTCCCACTTTGAATGTACCTATCAGGCCTTCCCTGCTATCAAAGACTATGAATCAAGAAATCCTACTTCCCTTAATTGCTTTTCATCTTGTATTCTGTCATAGCAATGAGAAAACAACAAAAACACTATCATTTTTAAGTATGACTTTCCCTTTCGTGAAGCTTTTAAACTACAATAAAAAGTTTGATAAAGTTTCAATTCACCTAATTGGAAAATATGCTTATGGAAGAAAAGTCATTATTAGTTAAAAATAGTTCAGCATACCCAAAAGATAAGTACCACTATTGCACCATTGGGAACATCTTGCTGTGGACTGTTGTTATAGCTGTCAGTTCAACAAATGGGTAGAACCACAGGTTACTTTTCTCTTCTGGCACCTTGCATAATTGGACTTTAGGCCCATATAATGCAAGAGAATTCATGCATGGTACCATAAAACTAGCCATCCACACATGAGTGGAAAATTCACAGATCCTAAAGGAAAAATTATTATTATCATTTTTCTAAATTACTATAACTTCTAACTGTATTCTAAGCATTTGTTATAACTACAGATAAGTGTAACTCTCATTCCTCATTAAAGAAGTGTGCTCAGAGACTGCATTTCACTTCCTAGACACCCACACCCGAATAATCATACAAGAAGGAAGGACAGAGATGAGAGCAAGAAAAGAGATATCTTGATTGAAAGAGCCATTATATAGTTAGCAAGAAACCTGGCTCTAGAGAAATTCCCAGGAATCCACAAAAATGACCCCAGCTAAAACCCTAAGCAATGGAGGAGAGGGGGCCCAATCTGGACTTGCCCTGCAGTCAGACTGATGAATAGCTTAAACATCACCATATAACCTTCATCCAGCCACTGATGGGAACAGAGTCAGAGACCCCCATCAGAACACTGGACTGAGCTCCCAAAGTCCAGTTGAAATGTGGAAGAAATGAAAATATGAACAAGTGGTCAAGTCCATGATGGGGACACCCACTGAAACAGTCTACCTGAGTTAATGGAAGCTCACCAACTCCAGCCGGCCTGGGAAGGAACAAGCATAGGACCAAACTGGTCCCTCTGAATGTGGCTGACAGTTGCATAGCTGGAGCAGACTGGGGGGCCACTGGCAGTGGCACCAGGATTTATTCCTAATGCATGTACTGTTTTTTTTGGGAAACTATTCTCTTTGGATGATACCTTGTTCAGTATAGATATAGTAGGGAGGGCCCTGGACCTTCCACAAAGCAATGTGCTTTACCCTCTTTGAGGAGTAGATGGGTGGGGTAGGAAGGTAGGTGAAGGGACTGGAAGGAGGGGAGGGAGTGGGAACTTGGATTGGTATGTATAATGAAAAAGGTAGTTTGTTTTCTTTAAAATATATATATATATAACACTGCTTGACCAATGGCTTAGGCATATTCCAAGCTAGCTCTTACATTTTAAATTAACCCATTTCTATTATTCTAAATATTACCATGAGGCTCATGGTTTGTTACCTCTTGCTTCTTGTGTGGCTACATGATGTCTGCCTGACTCTACCTTCTTTCTCCCTGCATTCAGTTTAGTTTTCTCACCTACCTATATTCTGTCCTGCCATAGGCCAAAGAACCTGCTTTATTAACCAATAGAAATAATTCATACTCATAGCATACAGAGAGGAATCCCACACCAAAGAAGCTTCTTTTTGCAACAAAGACTACAACAAATATCCACGACTGGTCAAAATGCAGAGAACAAATGACCATGGAGTGTGAGCCCCAAATGAGATATCTACAAAACACAACCCCTACAGCTAAAAGAATATCAGGAAAATGAAGAGAAAATAGTCTAAGAACCAGAGGACCAACTGGCAGGACAAAAAAACAACATCCATGAAACTCAACACTATAGTAGCCTAAAAAGAGAATTTAATAATGACCATCTCGCTGAACATGCCATTGGAGTTGGAGGAAATCTCCTAAGGCCCTCTTCCTGGATGAAGAACAATAGGCAGTCAATACTTCCTATGAGAGAGAAAAATCACTATTTTCCATGGATGGATCTCCTGATTCATTATCAGATATCAAGTGATCATCTCTAAACTTATATACATACCAATAACACTAAATGTAACACTAAACAAGTCATAAAGTTGTGATCATATACATGTGTATGTATGCAAGTAGCAATAACAATTACAAAAGAGATCATGAATCCAAGAAAAAGTGGAGAAAGGGGAGCAATGGGGTAGGAATGATGTAAATTCAGTTTAGTCAAGTATAAAAATCTAAAAATAAATTTTTAATCATATTGTTCAATATGAATAAAACTGGTAAATGTATAAATGTATGTATAAAAACTGTTAAATGTAATTTGCATGCCTCTCAAAATCTGTTAAAGTAAATGAAGTGGCAGAAAACTTGATTGCAGTTTCACATGACATTTGGGTATGTCATAGGAGCAAAAGTATTAACATCTTACTCAAAAGAGCACAACCAAAAGTATTTAGGCAAAGTTGCAAAAAGTGTAACTGGTACTTATTACAAAGAATAATTTGCCAATAACCAAA